GCTGGCTTCCAAGGGGAAACCCAACAGAGAAGATTGCAAATGATGATCACATGATTTCAGGGCACTTGGCAACTGGTCATAAATGTGAGCCGGTTGCCAAACACCCGAAATGTAGCCACATGACCGCGCAGGGTGGCAGTGTTACTTTTTTGATGGCTGCAAGTGTTTTACAGGCTTTAGAATACCCTTTTCTGAGACCATTGTAATTTTGAACTGTCGTTAAACAAATGGTCATTAAGCAAAGACTTCCTGTATTGTAGAGTTCCAACTGGTGGGAGTTTGAGTCCAGCATGACTCCTAGGAATATATGTATGTTTTGTTAAAGTGGAAATTATTTTTTCACTACTGAGATCTATTACTGGAACTGTGATTTCAGTTCTAGATGGTATTTGTCAGGTTAATAGTTATATATTAGTAAAAAAAAAAATTCTGTAACCTGAATGTGAAGCATATTGCCAATTAAAATATAGTTTTTGCTGAGGGAGAGATGATGCTGTAAACACAATGAGCATCCAGAGGAATTTTGTACAATGGATCCTTAATGAAAAAAGGGCCAATAAAATGGCTATTTTAAAAGGCAAATAAGCAGCTGAATTGACTAAGAATTTGTTCATAAAAGTGGAATATAAGAACACAGAAAAACTGGAGACTTGGGACATGTATGTGATGAACTTATTGATCCCTCAAGAGAAAGAAGAGAGATGGGCTAGAGAGCAGCATGAGAAGGAAAACAGCTGAAATCACTGTCAATATGAGCAGGCAAGTATGGTTGAGGACCATGAACTCACAATTGAAGAAGCTAGGCCAGGGTTCAGGGATGGCAGTGCTGAAGACTCTCGTGGCTAGATTCTATGCATCCAATGAAGTGATCTGCAGCTCATGAAAGCTTATACCTTTTAATAAAATGTGTTACTTAGAAAAGATGGTACTAGACTCCTGGTTTCTAATCTGGTTTATTTGTTGGGGCCTGTGATGGTGCTGTTGGTGCAGATGTGGGGGCAAAGTAGACATCTGGGTTTGTTGCAGGAGTTCCCATGGTAGCATAATTGTCCTGTTGTTTCTTGTTTGTGAGAATCTGCTTCAGCTGGATGGTTGCCTGTATGTAAATAAGGCCACTGCAATTTTGTAACGCCTTATATAAGTAAGATCATTGTAATTTTTCTTAACCAACTAAAACAAATGGTTTTTTTTCCTGCTTAACAAGTTCTGGAAATGTTACGTCTCTGATTGAGTTGATTATAATCAACTTATTATCCTCGTTTGGGAAATTTAAAAGGTAAATTTTAAAAAAGACTTGGAAAAAAAATCATATGAAGCATTATTTATTAGCGAAGTTAAGTTACTTGTGCGACAATAAACTTACTCAGTTTCTTTTGATTTAGTACTAGAAACTGAGTTTCATCTTTCTCTCCCCACGCCCCATTAAGTGTTGCAGTCCAATGCATTTGGCTGGAAACCAATCACTAACATCAATGCCGTACTCTATCATGCCCTTAGCTCAGTGCTGAGCCGGAAACACTCTTGTTTAAAGGAAGTCACAACTCTATGTCTGGAGCGCGTTGGGCATTTCGGAACGCATGCGCAGAAGAGTGCACGCGCTCCGTCGCTGTCTGCCGCTATTGCGGCCTGCGGAGGCCTGTGTTTTGCCCCAGCCGACGCCGTCGGATACCCGTTTCCCGGCTCTATGTTCCCGACGTGGGGTCTATATGGGGCAACCCCTGGGCCCTATCCTCCGCCCCCTACTAT